GAAGCAACAGAGTTGATATGTCATAGCCATGTAGTAAAAGCCACTGATTAATTTTTGTGTAACTTCATATAAATGACTACAGTAAAAGAGGGAAAGAAAGTTAAAAAATAAAAAGGATGAATGCCTTCAAGAGACAACTGATCGAGTTATTTAACACTATAAAACACTCACAGCCTAAATATTCATTAACAGGGTATTGGTGATGCAAAATAAATCACATCAATATATTAAAAGAATAAACAGTTCTAAAAAGCTCATTTTTCAAGAATAACTGTGATATGATACTTTTCCTAAGCAAGGAAGAAACTTTCATCCAGCTAAATGACAAAAGAAGGATTAAAAAGAGATGGAAGAAAACACATTAAGCAAAATGCCAAAAAAGAAAAGAAAATTCCAAAGCAAAAAAGCATTCAAAGAAATAAGCGGGGATATTTAATTTTACCAAAAGGTGAAACTCTCTTAAGAGGCTGTAGTGGTAACAAAGGTGAACATTTATGCACCTAACTACATAGCCTGGAAAAACACATGAGCCCAAGACGGAGAGACGAGAGAAACTGCTCCCCCACCGTCATCACGGGAGGCTTCAAGCCCAAAGGGAACAAATCACACAGAAAGAACTACGTCCGGATAGACAGTAACCCCAAATTAGACTCAGGGTGTGCAGGTTATGTACTGATGCCTAGAATAATACTGGAAGGAAATTAGTAAAACATGGACAGGGGTTGTTTTGCAGTGGAAAGCTGTACTTGTTTTTTTTTTTATCTCTGCTTTTCTGTATTTTTCCATAATGAACATACACTTTTATAACAGGAAAGTAAAGTATTCATGCCCGAAGAGGATGAGGAGCTGCATCACAGTGAGGTGGACACAGCGTTCCACAGCACGGGTTGGACTCGGCTCAAATGAGTCCACCAGCCGTGCTGGCTGTGAACGAGGAGGGAAGGGGCCAGTCGGTGGCTGACCAAAGGTGAGCTCGCCTTCCTTACTCCACACCAGAGGAGTATGCACTGGCTCCTTTCAGAGCTGGGCTAGATTTTCCTCTCGGGCAGGCCAGGGAGGCGATTTATAGGTCCAGAGGGATCCAGACATCTGTCTACCGGCAGCGCTACCCTTCCTGGAGAGAGGCAGACAGAGCGCCGCGACGTCGGGCTGTCCCTCCCCAATATCCACAAACGCTGCCTTTGTGCTAAGCCCCAAGCCCCCAGCCCACATGGGGTAGGGGGGCAAGAGAGAACAAATCCTGCAGTGTCTTGCTAAACTGTGGCTGCAAGGACCCTCACAGTTGCGACTGGGTTTTTAACGGTTTTGGACGAGGCTGCCAGCCCAGAACTCTCCTGACATCCTCCTGGGCTAACTTGTGGTCTCTCCAGGAGCCGGGGAAGGACTGCTAAGTGTTCTGCTATTGATTAAAGCATCGTGTTGGGACCTAAGTCATCTCTTCTCCTGCAATTAAGGGAACCCGACCTGAAAGACATAACTGGATATCCGAAGGGATGACACGTATCTCGAAGGTGCCAGAAACCAGGAAACAGAATACTGCGGCAGAAAACCAAGCTGCTGAACGACAGTGCCAAATCCTTTTAGGAATACGAAAGGTATAAAAAAACCACACACACAAGGGTAAGGAATGAATGGCTGCTGAGAAGTTGGGGGAAGAGCACTCCTTGCTCTCAGTCCCTTCCTAGTCGTGGGCACCAAGACTTAGACACAACGGGAGAGGATGTCAAGTGGCCCCCGAGATCTCTTTGGGGCTGTTCTCCCTCCTTATCTGCACTGCTCCCCAGGCGACATTAGCACCCTCTCCTGGTCTAGCTGTGAGGGAGGCGATGAAACTCTGAGCCAATTACTGGGACATAAGGCCTGGCACTAACGCGGCAGAACTCGCACGCAGGCACCCAGATCCACAGGGAGGCATGTGGGGGGCCAGATGGCGGTCTCCTGTGTCACGGATCATCCTAGCTCTGCATTCAATCTCAGGGGCATATTTCTATTCTCTGGTCCCCTCAAGAACACACTTGAATATAAGCCTATTATTCAGGGCTAGCACGTGGTGTGGTGATTAGTGGTGCTGGACTCCCACATGGCTAACCACGGTTCAAGTCCTGGACCTGGTGGCTTGCTCTTTCTCTCTCTCTCTCTCTCTGTATCTCACTCTGGACAAATTGAAAATAACTATAATGATAAATAAAATAAAATATTTTAAAAAATAAATTAATTTAAAAAATAAGCATATTGTTCAAATTCTGTCTATGTCTAAATACATAAAAATTAGGAATAACTGCTCTCTCTCTGCCAGATTGTTTCTATCTTCTCTGTGGAGCCTGGAGTTAGCTACTTATTATAATATTTTTAGAAAGTATTTTGCCAAAAAATATTTTTGATTTTTTTTTTTTTTGGAGAAACTTTTGTTGTAGGGCATGTGTGCTCACCAGAGAGACACAAAGAGAGAAAGTGGGAAATGATCCCCCAGGATAGATGGTCAAGGCATAATCCTTTCTCCTCCATTTTTCCTCTCGGGATTTTGGGCACGCATGTACATGTGCCTGATGTGAGTTTCAAGGTCTGGGACTCAAACCATGGTCGGCCATGTGGAAGTCCAGTGACTCAACCATTACTGAACCTGCTGGTCCCTATTTTTGAAGTTTTAAAGAACAATTTCCACATACCAGACCCTCTTTTGGGTCTGGTTCTCTCATCCTTGCTTGGCCGCAGTTTGCCAGATTTCAGCAATGGCTTGATTTTTTTTCTAACCTGTCCTACCTCCCTAGGTCAATGCACATTTCCAAAGTGATCAGATATTTCCCATAATGTTCCCTCTGGAGGACCCCCAGAAACAGCAGAAAGAGAAATAACAATTGCTTTGGGAGCCAAAAGAAAGGGTTGGAAGGCATGACCATGGAGGATCTTGAAGCAATCTGCCCTCAGGGCTGATCTAAAGTAGGAGGCACAGCCGGCAACCTCCAGGTCCTGGAGCATGGCCACAAAAGCCTAGAAGCCGAGCAAGGCGATGGCAGTGAAGGGGCCGGGTGCTGGGAGGACAACTGAGAGAGTTGGGGATGTCTGTAGGTGACAGTTGGCCGGCTACTGAGGTCCAGCTTATGACTGCCATGGGGACACAGGCCCAGCACCGCCGTGAATCCACCAGAAGCAACTCGGTCTGGAACACAGCAGCACGAGGGCAGGAAGGAGAACCTGAGGCATGATGAGGGCTCACTCCATGCTTGTGAAAGGAGCGAGGGTCTTCCTTGGCAGAAGGCGGACTGTCCTGGGAGAAACCATGGGAAGAGATGGCTAGGGACACGCAGCTCTCATCACCAAGGAGGAAATAACTACAGAGCGACCTTGAGCCACAGCCCCAGGATGGAGAGGAAAGGATGAAATGAAGCGGTTAGGCTAAAACTTTTTCAAAAAGCAGAACTCAGCCAAGGAACAGATGTGCAGGACTAGGGCGATGATGAATCTTCCCGGGGAAGCCAGAGCACTTGTCTCGGGAGTTGAGGGACTGGTCATGAGGGACAGAAGGTAAATACATTCTTCACCAGCTTCAAAGCCCTTCCTCTGGCAACCCCGGACAACCTTATTTTCTGTCTCTTCCATTCTCCCACGCAAGGGATCAAGGGATAACCAGGGGCCTGGGGGCCGGAGCACCGAGAGAAACAGAGCCAAACTGCAGCTAATTAGGGGATGAGGTTTACTCGGGAGACACTGTTAGCTGAGTTAACGGGCAGTGGGCGGAGGATGAGCCCTGGAGAGGGATGGAGTCCTCGAGTAAGTGGAGAGGACAGTTTGGGCTCAGCAAAGCCATGGCATATTGGTCAAAAGGTGGGGCCACACAGACAGAAGGGGTGAAGGAGAACTTCGAAGATCTCTCAAATCGCAGACTTTATATCTTTTATAAAGGATATGTGCACTCACTAGAGAGAGAGACAGAAACATCCAGCAATGGGGCATGGTCACACTATAATCCCTCCTTCCCCATTCCGGTGGGATTTAGGGCACGCATGTGCACGTGCCCCACATGTTTTATCAAACCACTAGGGAATGGACACAGACCACAGCTGGCCATGTGGGATCTGGCTCCCTTAACCACTAGGCTAAAGGGTGGTCCTCAAGTCATGGATTTTCATAGTCATCTGTCCAAGGTGACTGAGTTTTTGGGTGACAGAGCTGAAGTCAGACCTGAGCAAGTTCCACCCTAGGGTCCTTGCTCTAAGATCAGAGGTCAGCAAAAATTTTCTGTAAGAGGTTAGACAGAATTTTTTTTTTTTTTTTTTTTTTTGGTTTTGTGTACAACATGGTCACAGTCACAGCTACTCAACTCAGTCCTTCGAGTGCATGAGGAGCCAGATGTGCATGGCCATATTACAAGGAAACTTTATGGGCAAGGAAATGTGAATATTTTCAAGTGTCCTGAAATTCTTTTGATTCCCTTCCCACCAAACATTTTAAGTGTAAAAAAAAAAAATTTGCAGGCCATTAAAAAAAATCCAGGTGGTGGGCTGGATTTTTTTCTTAAAGCCACCGTTTCCTGGCCCAAGTTGAAGCCACTAGATTCTGCTGCCCTGCAGCTCCTATCACGTGTTGGTTTCCTTAGAAGGCCCACAGACACTTTAGGACAAAATCTCTCAGAGGACGTGAATGGAGCAAGTGATTGAAATCCAAGGGGACTTCAAACAGCTCATGGAAAAATGGAGTTAAAGCATGAATTTACTTTGGTGCAAATTTTTTTAAAAATCCATGCACCATTTTCTCATAATATGCATTTTTCATAAACTCTAAAGATCACTTGCACAATTGGGAGAAAAGCCCCAACAGAAAGACACAAATCCACCCAACCCTAGACAGCATCTTGAAAAGACCTCTCCTCCTTTCAGTCCCCTCACTTGCACACTTCTGCTGACATGAGCACTGGTACAGGTCAATCTGAAACCAGGGGAAAATCTAGGTAGGACTGGGATGTCCCCTGCTATACAGCCCTGGGCCCACCGTGTCCTTCTTACCTGCAGGGTTTGGCTGAAGCGCTTTAATGGAGTGGCCTTCACAGGGGGGATGAGGTTTGCTAGTGACGTGACTCTGGAAAGGGGCTTGACCCGTTTATTACTAGGCTCCTGGAAAGTTAAAAAAAAAAAAAAAAAGGAAAATGTCAAGGTCAGTTATGAAGACGCTATAACTCTATCATACAATTGTGTCCCCTTTACAAGCTGCTGGCTACACCAGAGTCTATGGCCTGTAAACAGTGCCCCGTCTTGCTCCAGCTGTGTGGAGATGACCTGGCTTAGGAGCCAGAAAAGGAGAAATGACAGGGAAGGAGAAATGAACAGAGGAAGCCTCGACAGGGCAGCAGAGGGGCAGGGACCTGCTCCTTAGCCCTCTCCTCCAGCAACTGCAGCCTGTAACTCAGAAGTTTCCAGTTGGTAGGCTCATCCTCCCCACCGCTTCAGCAGAGAAAGTGGCTTTGGACTGCTCTTTCAATGACCTTGTCAGGCAACTGTTCTTCCTTGCTTCTGTTTCACCTTTTTACAAACCTCTCCCCCACCTTGCCTAAAGCCCCTCTTCTTTTATGCAATGGCTTTTCTAAAGCACGACTGTTTTATGTTTAGTTTCTTAAATTAAAATTCTTTTCAGGAAGGAGTAGTTCAACTGCTGAGCTCTTAAGAATGCATATTTCTACCCACGGAGTATTTGAAATGCACATATTGATATTTATAAATAACAACCAGACAGCAAAAGATGTACAGACAGGAAAAACCCTGCCGTGGGCATTGGTTTCTATATGCTCTGTATAGCCACACGTTTTGAAAATCACCGCCATATAAAACATTATGTGCAAATCTGCAGGTTACTCCAGACCAGGCTGACCGGTGAGAGGGCGCCTACCCACCCCAGTGACTTTGCGGACAAGAATTACATAAGTAAAAACAACGAGCTGTGGGCAAGAGCGAGAGATGATAGACACAACGTTTTACAAAGACAAAGAGAACAGTTACCCTCGTCCTCCTAAGCTCCATCTGACCTGTGGTGGAGGCTGGACAGCACATGAAGACACCAAATTTTGATGGAAAAAGCCAAAGAAGCCAGTTGTGGCAAACCTCGATCATTTCCCGAGGGAGACTGCAGGTGCTCATCTTTCCTTTTCAGCCATTGCTCGTCGAGCGTCGGGGGTTAAGCCAGAACTTCAGCTTCCCCACGACATCTCTGCAGGATGTCTTGAACATACGAGGTGTTGGGAAAACTCTTTCCTGAATTGAGAATCCTGCCGAGAAGCTCTCCTACCATTTTATGCCCTTGCCAATTTCAAAATCAGAAGCCTTCTTTGAAATACTGTCCCCAAGCTTTCTGTCATGGAAACAGAAAAATTAAAAAACTTAAAAAAAAAAAAAAGTTCAAAACAATTCCAGGAGTGACTTCACAATTTCTTGGAGCAGTCCAATACCTTTCCAGGACAGAATAAATTGGACGGCCGGGTCCTTCTCCAGCTTCTTAGCAAGCTGAGCTGAACAGACCGCAGAACGCTCTGGGAACACTAGGCTTGGTCCCGAAACACAAAAGATGTGTCTCCCAACATGACAGACATCGCCTTACAATGGCATTAGTGCTGAAGGGAAAGGTCTGACAGCCCTTCTAGGTCCAGGTGACAGTGCCCTTCAGGAGGCTCCCTGTCTAGTCCCAGCATCCTGAGCTTCTGTGCCCATAGGAGGATTTAAAAAAAAAAAATTCTACGTCAGAGCTGCACCACCAGCATAATGAACTCACACTCACTCTCTCTCTCTCTCTCTCTCTCACCTTCTTAAGCATGCCCAGAATTTCTCTGCATGGCTCCAGCTTCGGGCTGGATGTGACAGGGCTATGAGACCACTATGGCACAAACTGCATTGCAGCAAGTGAGGAGATGAGACTCCCTAGAGGAGTAGGACGTGGTCTCTGATCATCTTGCATGCACTTCAGAGCGCATACACTCTGGGTCTCTGTCTTTAAAATATCAGCTAAGGCTGCGAGTCCGTTTCTGGATCAGAAAGTGAAGGTTGAAGGGCAAATACTGAGTTCTCTTGCTTTGAAAAGGGACAGGGAGCGCTGCGCGGCAGGCAGGACTGGGGACAATCCAGCTCTGTTCCGCTTGCTGTGTCATCTTTCCTAAGGTTCTGCTGACTGTGCCGCACTTTACGGGGCCCGGTCGGACAGGTGTTTTCTGCACAATGACAAGATATATGTCCAATGCAAATGCCAGCGCCTTTGCAGGTCGAGCGCAGTGCTGTACAGGAGGTTGTGAAGAAAAGTGCTTTCCTAAGGCAGTGCCCATTTGGAAGTAAACGCGGGGCTGTTCTCTGGCAATGTCACATTCCCAAGTAACATACAACTGAACCAGAGCCCGTTGCTACGTGATTTAGTGCTGTGACCCAGCAAGGCAGGCAGGTGCGATTTCAATACCAGAACACTTACAGGTTATTGGATCTATGGAGGAGGCTTTTTGCCTGACCCACATGAATGAAATATGAATTATGGTGTTCTCCTTGAGGGCTTCTGTGAGAACAGGAGATTAAAAAAAAATTCTTGGCGTAATTTGATTTTTCTTTTCCATTTACTCAGTATGTCTCCAGCTACATTTTACTGCTGTCTAAAGAGAGCCCTCAGGGAAAATGTTTCCAGATTCTAGTTAAATAGCTCTACTGAAAACTAGTAAATACAATACCAGGGATGCTTTCAGGCTTTACAGAGAGATGATAGAACATAACCTGCAGAAAGGCTTCCTAGTGCAACAACTCAGCTGTCAAGACAAGCTGGGCAAGGTCAATGCTAAACCAGGAACAAGACATCCTGTTTCAAATGCAGACATCGCCCCCACCGTGAGGTTTTAAGACAGGGTAGAAGGGCATCTTACTAAAGAGCTTAGAAGAAAAATTGGAAGAAAAGAAAAAAGACATAGTGCATTCCGTTTAGGCAATATTTTAGAAATAACAAGTTTTATTTCACTTATACTAGGTCTTATATATATGTGTATATATATATATTTTTTTTTTTCTTGTCTTATTGCACTGGCTAGGACCACCTGTATATTGTTAGATATAAGCTAAGATAGGGGAGAATGGTCTAATTCTTGATTCTAAAGTGATTAACATTTCATCATTAAATATTGTGTTTGCTGAAAGCCTGAAAGAAGCACTCTTTTTTTTTTTGAAGAATTATGTAATGTTATTTGTTATTATTTATTTATTTGATTTGATCAATGACAGAGAGAGCGAGAGAGAAAGACAGAGAAAGGGAAAGTGAGAAAACAAGCTGCCAGGTCCAGGACCCAAACTGCAGCTGGTCATATAGTCCAGTGCCTTAACCACCTGCCAGCCCCAACTGGCACTGACTTATTTACTTATAGACTTTTTGTTGTTGTTATAGGATGCATGTGCTTTCCAGAGACACAGAGACAGAAAGAGAGTGAGAACCCCCCGGGGGAATAGTGACGCAGCAAACCATTCTCCTCTTGGGATTTTTGGGCATGCATGCACATGTGTCCAGTGTGAATTTCAAGTCACCAGGTCTGGTACTCAAACCATAGTCAGTCACGTGGGAGTCCAGCACTTTAACCACCATGCCACCTGCTAACCCTGGCACTGACGTTTTTATAAAATATTTTTTCTTCATGTATTTAGAGGACAAGGAAAGGAAAAAATAAAAGGAGGAAGGAAGAGAAGAAAGGAGAGGTGGGTGGGATGGAATGGAAAAATGACATAAGGATGTATCTTTTTCATTAAGGAATTGATTCAATAATTTAAAATATCTCTTATGCTTAATTAAGAAGGAATAAAGTATTTCGTGCAATATTATTAACATGAACTTTTTTATTTTTATTAAATGGGTTTTAATAGTCTTCCTTTAGGGAATACAATGAGTTTTTGTTTTGTCATTCTTATCCCCAACAGGTCAAAACCAAAGCACATTGTATGTAATTTAAGAAAATGTCTATATATTAATATGATCTAACATAAGTTTTTCTTCTGTCAATGATAGTTCTGTTAAAATAGACACAGCATACAGGAAGTCTTTTTTTCTTTTTTAAGGTTTTGGCCATAGGGTGTATGCGTTCAATAGAGAGACAGAGAGGGACAGTGAGAGGGAAAGTGAGAAATCAACCCCCAGAGGGGATGACCACACCTCAATCCCTTCTCCTCCATTTTCCTTGTGGGATTTTGGGCACATGTGCCTGGCATGATTTTCAAGCCGCCAGGTGTGGTACTTGAACCATAGCCAGCCATGTGGGAGTCCAGTGTCTTAACCACTATGCTACCTGCTGGTCCCTTCCCTCACTCATTTTTTACTGCACTTCATTTTTTAAATTAATTGCCAGAGGGCACATGCTCTTGCGCACGTGCAAGGGAGAGAGAGAGAGAGAGAGAGAGCGAGAGAGAGAGAAGAAACATAGGGAGGGAGGGAGAAGGCATCCTCTCCCATAGGTCTTAATGCAATCCTCTTTCCTCCATTTCTCCATCCAGTTAGAATTTGGGGCACAGATACACAAGATCCTGGCATATTTTTCAAGCCAGGGGGATGGGATTCAAACTGCAGTCGGCCACGTGGGATCTGGTTCACCTTAACCACTGGGATGGATCCGAGGCTAGCCTTACACTTCATTTTTGTAGACCAGTTGGGTTGGACAGTAGTGCCATGGCTACCCTGAAAGTTCATCTTTGCACCGCCACAAACCTACACAGCCATCAGCCCAGGGACTTCACACCACTTACTGCGTGCTCTTGGCTGCTCTCCAACTGGCCAGGAGCAAGGGAGAGGTGAGAAATGATTGTGCCAGCAGATACTTTGCCCTTGAATCATATATAAAAGTCGTTCAAATGTTTGGGAATACCAGGGAAGCATTTGCGGGTTCCAGCTGTGTTGCAGGTGGTAATGCTGGGACCTGTGCACTGAGGGGTCGTGCTTAAGCCATATGGTAACCTTCTAGGTGGCTTTTCTCATCCTCATGTTAAACCGGAAGTCTGTTTTATTCTCTTTACTAATTTTTATTTGCTCTCACTTTAAAAATATTTATTTTATTATTTAATTTGCTATAGGGCGTGTGTGCTCACCTGAGAGAGAGAGAGAGAAAGTGAGGGGGAGAGAAAGC